TAGGCGGAGGAGGAGGAGGCGGAGGCATCCCAGCTCCCAGGGAGGCCTGGCCAGGTCTGCACTTAGGCACACTCTCCATGCACAAGGTCAAGATAAAAGCATGGTCTCAGACTATCACGTGTTGAGGGACACCAGAGCCTTGGCATGAGCCACAAGGCTGCATAAACCAAGGCCACCAGCCGCAGGGGACGCTACATCTCCCTGGCAATGCATCACCGGCTTGGCTGCTCCTACCACCAAGAGAGACTGGCCAGGTCTGCACTTAGGCACACTCTCCATGCACAAGGTCAAGATAAAAGCATGGTCTCAGACTATCACGTGTTGAGGGACACCAGAGCCTTGGCATGAGCCACAAGGCTGCATAAACCAAGGCCACCAGCCGCAGGGGACGCTACATCTCCCTGGCAATGCATCACCGGCTTGGCTGCTCCTACCACCAAGAGAGATGGAAAGTCATGGGCTGCAGGGCCATCCAGACCCCAACCATTGCAACAAATAATGCCAAAGGTTTTTCTGGGCACAAGAGGGATGGCCACAGCAGGGACAGCACACACAGGTCTAGATGCGCTGGCATTTGTCACCAGTCTTCCCTCATGACAAAGCCGTGAAGCCTGAGGTCACCTCTGCCAACCCTGAGGCCGACAGCCAGCATAAAACACAGCCTCCACAGCAGAGCCCGGGATCCTCAGTCCACCTGAGCTGGTGCCAGTCGGTTTGTACTGCCTGTGACCGCAGGTGGTGGCTAATCCCCTGCTCTGGCCCCGCTGGCACGGGTGATGTTGCATTCCAATGACTGCAGAGGTTCCTGAGCTCCTTTCCCCAGCAATTTTCATTAAAGAACCCTTAATGGGAGTGTCCGCTTGAGCAGAACAGCCCTGCCAGGCACCAGGAGCCGCTGACTCCAGTTCACGGGAACCTTTGGGCAACCAGCCCAGCCACTTCTTCAAACTACTTGGGAAGCTTCAGCCCCATGGTTGGCTCCACTCAGAGTCTAGAAAGGTGGTAGCACCAGCAATGGGGAAAAAGGAAACTTCCTGCACCTCTCCCTTGCCAGAACCCCTGCTGCCTTCTGCCTGATGCTGCAGATGATGGGCTGTCTCAGCCCCTGGTACTCCATGCCTTCCCTGCTCCCCAGTCCAGCTCAGGCTGCCAGTCCCAATCTCCACTCCTCTCTACCACACAAGACACCAGATCCCAACCACATCCGCCTCTGTCTACCGTGGCGGAAATGGCTCACTCCATGCCAGCGAGCAGAGCTGGGCTGCTGCCTGCCTGGGGCCCGTGGCAGGGCTCTGCTCCTGGACACATCATTTCTCACCGTCGTTCCTGCAGCCTTGGCTTAAGCCGCTGCTGGAGGCAGGACACCTGCTCATCTGCGGCAGGGCAGCAGAGCGAGTCTGGACATCACCCACAGCCCAGGAGATGGGAAAGAAACAGGGCCTGAACAGGACTGAGAGAAGAGGTGTGCAGGGACCTACCAATAACCAAGGGAATTGTTTCTAAATGGGGAAAGCAGTAGCTTGGGACTCTGTGTGTGTGTAAGAGAAGGTGAGGCTGGTGCTTACAGTGCTATGGAAAGCCCAAGCCTCCGGGTCCCCAAGCCAGGGAACGCAATGAGGGCTGCAGCAGGGGAGGAATCCTGTGCTCCACTGCCACCAAAGCAGAGGTACTCCTGCTTGTGAGGGCTGGAAGAGGAGAAGACAAGAGGCTCAGCAAAGGTGGGCTCAGCACAGATCCAGTGCAGTTTGGGGGACACACACGACACCCCTCCATGGCCTGTGCCACAGCCCAGTGCTGCTCTGAAACCTGGGCTAGGAGGGGAGCACAGTGCCGCGGCGTTCTCAGCACTGCTGGCATGCTCTGCGCTCCACTGACTACGAACCGGTGAGGAAACACCTCTGTTAAACCACCTCATCGCTGTTCCTGCTGCTAGCTGTGTCTCTGCGCCCTCACACCTCCCCGTGCCCTGCAGCGGTGTTGCTGTGGTATGATGGCACTCTGTGGACAGTAAGTCAGATACTGTCCTCTCAGTTTCTCCAGGGCTCTCTGTTTCAGTCCCTTGCCTTGGCAGAGGAATAGGAAGCCAATTCTTCCCAAAGAGAGCACTGATTATGGCTGGATGCTGCCACTCTTCACTGCCTCGTGCCTCTCGGACTTCCCCAGTTTTACTGCACAAACCTTGCCTGGCCTCTGTGCCACCATGTCCCTGGCTTCAGTCACCCGAAGAAAGGGAAGGCCTAACCCGGAGCCTCTCTGCCCCAAAAATGCCCTTGCAGTGGCGATTCAGGGACCACAGAGCAGATGCGATTCCCCACTCTCCTCTCTTGACTGCAGGCATCATAAAGGACACAGAGCTGAGAACCCAACCTGGCCACCCTAAGCTGCCTACAAGGATGGCACAGGTTGCAACCAGAAGTGGCATAGGTTTGGTCTGGAAAAGACCAAATCCAAAGAAGTTTGATGTGGAAAAGATCAAAGCCTAGAAAGTGGGTGAGGGATTCAGGAGGCTCTGGCATTGCACAGAAGGTCACTGGGCAGAAAGACCTTGCAGGGAGACAATGCAAACATGCTAGCGTGACTGAGACATCAAGTTCTCCAAGAGCTATCAGCTCTGTAGCTGAACCACTGGACCAGACCTGACATCCAGACTGGACCTGACCACACTCCAGGTGAGTGCACCCTGGAAAAGGGAAAGATGTGGCTTTCCAACCTGC